CGAGGAGCAGCCATACGGCCTGGGATAGGCCGTTCAAGCTCATGAACAAGCTAATTTGCAGCGGCGAGAAGCCTAAACCGCCGAGTGAAATTCGGGTATACCAAAATACAGGGGTGACAGCGGTATAGGCAAAGGCAAGCAGCATGATATGCTGGTAGGTGTACAAGACAAGTGCGACGCCGGGAGCTTTGATGAGATCCCGGGTCGACATTGTAGGTTTCGTTGGTGCAGACGGCCCGGTACCCGTCTCTTCACCCCCGCGCCGCGCAGCTATTTTGCTAGGCAGAGTCTCCTCGACATTGAAGGCGCATACTATAGTAATAACAAGGCCAAGGGCGCCCACAGCAAAGCTGGACAGGGCATATGGATAACGCTCAAAGAAGGGTACGCCGCGGAAGAGACCAGGATATTGAGAAGCAGGTTCAGCTAGCATACCACCAATCAAAGGCCCGAATAGAATTCCCAAGTTGCCAGTAAATGCGAATAGACTAAAGGCACGGGCCTGTGTTTTGACAGTGCTATGTTCAGAGATCATAGTGCGAATGGTTACGATAGTGCCAGCGAACACGCCTCCCAAGCACCGGAAAAGGATCATCTCCCAAATGGTGGTAGCCATGCCAAACATAGATGTAGCCACGGTTACACCAGCCATCGAGAAGACCAGTACCGGCTTTCGGCCCAAACGGTCTGCTGCCTTGCCCCAAAAAACCATGACCAGCATTTGGGTGAGGGAGAAGAGTGACTCAATTAGACCGCTGTAGAAGCCCGCGTCGGTCTCTTTGAGCGATCCATTTTCCTGACACATCTTATTGATGTACGGGAAGATGGAGAAGAAAGCTACGGGCTCAATGAGGCGCGCCAGGCAGAGGAATAAGATTTGTGCCATGGGCAGCGGCTTGTCGTCTTCGCCTGCATCTCCATCCTGGGTTTCATCGCTGCTGATGTCCGCGCTAGTGCCGGATTCGTAAGCGGTCGTCGCCCCGGAGGCATCACGGCTCGTCGTCAGCAGCGGCGTGTCCTCGTCGATTGCGATTTCCGCGGAAAGTGAGATGTCTCGCGGGATACTGGAAGTACGGTTCGTCTGGTTGTCTGCCATCGTGTCGACGCGTCGTTCAAACAGCCTGTGTCTGGTCTAGTGGCCCGTGCCGCGACTTTCCGTTGGGTGGGCGAGCCTTCGTGTGACGGTGCAAGCAATATGTTTTTACCTACCACCTCATTTGTTTGATTAATGTCTAGAGAATCGTGGTGATTGGGATAAATTTATAGCAATAGCAAGATAGCCATCATGCATGAACCGAGAACGATGGTTCCCAATCGTTAGTCCGAAATTTTCTCACAGGGTACCTCTACGAACTGAGGTATCAATAGCCATATTCGTTGGACCCGCCAACACAAATCACCTATCGCGTGCGTGACGCTGATACCGACGCAATGGCGATTGCAACACTGATCCAGACGACATTGGTCTCGCAGGTGGCACTGGTCAGTCCTTCAGAGGGATTTGAAGATAATGTAGTGGTCACGTGACAGCGTATTATCTGAAGAGCGTGCGTGTTGTAGCAACGCCTTGCTCCTTCAGCGGACGGAACCACTTACTTAACACTCTCAGATTGTTAAGGTTCCCGCCTGTCAAAAAGCACGCTGGTTAACGTGGTTTACGAGACAAGCACATTTTTATCCTTGCTAAAGTCCAACACATATTAAGGCTCATAATATGTGTTATATCAAACGAAACGCCCAAGTAACGTCTATTACAGGTTACAAAAGGAGCCTATTGCACGCATTTTCATGTCGGGTCGGAGATCTTGCGGACTATATCTAGTGTTAAGTTTCTATTCTAGTAGCTTATACTGGAATAGGATCCCATCTAAAACCTCAAACCTATAACTCACCAGCACAATAGGTCTTCAGCAAGCACTCCCTACCTAATAAAACTCTGATTTATTCCTAACAAGCCTTCAGGAACTGCATGGTTCCTCTAACCATCCTTGCATTCTTTGAAGCCGGCCGAATCCTTGCTCTAACATCAGAAATATCATCGTGCTACTTATTTTATTTTCCATATATACTATACACATCGGCAGGTTGAAGTTCGCGCCATCTCTAGCCCTCAGTTCGCTACAGGCGTGGAAGGCAGCCCACAGAACGCCCTCTCGCCCTCTCAAGGATCTTCACTTAGCTCGAATTTAATCTGAGTAGTGCTTCTGGCGGCCCTCTAGATTAATGATGGACTATAATGCAACATTCCCGAAGCAAATATACTGCGCACAAATTATCAGCGGCGCTTATCGCTTTAGCGTTTTGAGACTCCGGATATGTCGACGCTCGATAGGATATATATACATGCGTGTGTGTGTGTTATTTCCCTTCCTTCCCATCAAAACCTCGCACGACAGCCAGATTATCAATGGGGTGGATATCTATCCGACCCGGTCTATACTCGAAAATAGAGACCTATTAGCATCATAAAACGAGCCTAGATTTAAACTATAACCACCAGAACACCGTAAACGGCTCCCAGGCCAGCTATAACCGCCAAAACTATCTGTAAGGCCATCTCGGTCACCTCGTTAAGCGACTTTCGCGAGGCATATATTTTAACGCCCTCTTTGTAGATCAAATAAATGATCACAAAGGACAAGACGAGGCGTTGTCTCAGCATAACCTTGACGTGGAATTCAATCCGCTCACTGTTGTGGTGGCAGTGTTGAGCAGCGCGGAGGCGGGGATGGTTGATACCATCGAAGTGGATTTGACGGTAGCTCTCGTTCGGCGCTGATGAAATCGTCTAAGCTGATATAGCGTATTTAAATTAGCAATTTCTCCCAGGCAAATACCACTTCATAGTTCTAATTTCCGCCTTTGGATAGAGATATACCATTATTTCGACGCTTCTGAGGCCATATACTTGGCGTAGAAGCCAGCAGTCTATCTTCCGGGCCACCGCGAGGATCATGTGCCCGCGTTTCGCTCTTGGATGAAGGACAACCTGCTCTATGCCTTCGTGCCAGTTCTTTGTCTCCTGCTCTGCGGTAAGGAATCGCGAGATCCGCGAAACAGGCTTCCCGGCCTGAAAATCCGAAGGGCTGGAGCTCTACTGCGATGGCTATGCGAGATATGACTTGTGCCTCTGGGTCCGGGTTCATGCAATAGTGAGCATCAAAGATGCGTTGCCCTGCTGCGGACGAGCTGGCTTGACTAACAGGCGCAATGGCGGGAAGAATAGGAGCTGCGGCATAGGGAGCTGTTGGAGAGGGTCCGGATGCTGGGCGCCGGCGCCCAAGGGGTTCGGGATTACTCGTTGGCTGCTTTTTCCTAGTAAACGTGGCGGCTTAGCGTACCTATCGGGATGACGATGACGACAATCGCGACAACGACGACGACGACGGAGATGGTGAAAGCAATGGTGATGGCGAAGGCAACGAAAATAGACAATTGAAGCCAGGAGAATGATAAAGGTAATGGGAGCGGGGAAGGTCGTGAGGATACTAAGGGCAATGGGGATGATAGGGGTGATTTTGCTTCGATTTTGCGGTTTAGTTACTATATCTTGCAGATCTTGAGCACTCCGCCCTGGGTGGCACCATTTTCAACATCATACAACTTACCTTTATCATTATTTTAAGGTCTTTCTTTCTTATACCTCGTACGAGCCTCCTTCCTCTATCATATTAAATTCAAAAATTGTATTTTCTAGTCAATGGGCGGCCACTTTAGATACAGAGTATCCTTTCTAACAACTGAAATCGATTAGAGTTCATATTTATACGTCATGCAGTATGAAAGATAGAGTCAGTTACTGCTCTTATGGGCCTCCTATGATAATAATAAAATATCAGGTTAGCGATTGATGGTATCATCACGAGGGATTTCATACCGATTGAGTGATCACGCGATCTTGGCCCTAGAAGTTTTGAAAGATCGGTGCATAGTTGAGGCCATCTCCTCGAACTCATAGATATGTTTCGGCTTTGCCCAAGTGGGGCCTGGGTTCGCTAATGCCTCTAATAACGGGGAGCCGATTGTGATCACAGCTTCAAATGCATCTTCGGGATACACAGCCAGAAAAAATATCTGAACGGAAGGCCAAGAAAGATCTCGCGTCTTAATGTCATCGTCGGCGAGAAGAAGCTTCCCATGCCCGAGTATCATTCCGTCGAACGTTGGTAAGAGAATGACTGCCTCGTTCAAATAACCATCGATCACATAACTAGGAAACCAGTAGTAAAATACTACTTGAAGATTATAAACGATTAAAGATGACCATATATACATACTTCCAGCCATTTCGTATCTCCTCAATTCCTTCCGCAGACTGTCAGGATCGTTGTAATCAATATAAAATTTGACGTAATAATTCAGGCTATATCGATCGGGAAAGGCCCAGGTCAAAGGAATATGGCTCCGCCCGCGGGTAGGACTTTCCGCTCGTGGTTTATAGGATTGGGGGCACCCGGGTCTACGATGTCGAGAGTTGAGGTAGATCTGGTAGCATGATATCAGAACCGTTACAACGAGCGTTACAACAGCAACAATATGCCAGTTATCTTCATATATTGAGCCTTTCCGCAACGCTGATGTGAAATTTGAGAGGGAAATCATTGCGGCACTCGCGGCCAGCCGGTTTCTGGGACCGAGACTGGGGTATAGGCGCCGATAGGATGGTCTAGTTTTGGTGAAGTTTTTAGATCTGTCGAAAAAGCCGAGACACTGGACACTCTAGATTTAAACCCCATCGGTTTAGGGTTCAGCCGACGTCTGTAAGATGAACCTATCGGTCTCCCACGTGATATACCTTTCATGAATTACCTAATCAAGTAGACTATAATATCTGAATTAATTGATGGGAGCTTGAAACTTTACACGCGAGATTTTATGAGCCAATATGAGCAGATACGATTGAGTCGTGCCGCGACTTTCCGAGTTATATACCCTTGCTTAAAACAATAACCTCAACAAAAGCAATGGCCGTCTGGTTCAGTGGACTGAACCAATCAGATTCTCAGATGGTCCAGTGGCTAAGATTTCCGCCTGTCAAGCCACAATGTGGCAGCTCGCGGACGACCGGGGTTCGATTCCCCGTCTGAGAGTACAATTTTTTTTTGGTTTGCTTGGAACACCCAGTCCATTTTTGGAATCCAGTCCATTTTCGTTCTCGCAACCCTGCCTGACAGGGATCTATTCTCCAACATTTTCAACACTAGAACAAAAACCGAGAGGACAATAACGGCATACAAAGTACAGTTCTGTTCCAAGACTAGAAGCTTGTCTCGTAAACCAGCCTGGTTTACGAGACAACTAGAAGCCAAAATATCATATCAGGTCCGAATATGGTTTCGGGCTGTGAATTGAATTTCATTGATTATAGTCCCAAATTACCAAACTTATTTCATAGTCCGATTGACTACGGTAATATCAAGGCGCCTTGCTCCTGTTTGAATCGGGCTAATTCCCCGACTATCCTTTGTCTTCTACTGCAAATTCAGCATGTAATACCTTATAAAAATTATTATTATTCAAAAGTGAATGGTACTATGAGGGAGAGAACTTGTAAATTCGATAGAGAAAGAAGAGAGCTATCCTACGCCTCTGAGGCCGTCTTAAATATACAATTGGGTTACACGGGGCATGAAGCCATATCACTATCACGTGCCGTTAGTCACGTGAATCATGCGCCTCAGACATGCGGCGTGAGCTACGCCTCATGTCGGGTCGGCTATAAGCTAACTTGTGGCGGCGTTAACTCCGGCTCATGTAGGTAGCCTCAACAGATATGTTATAAAATGCGAAATCAGCTGATTGAATTTAGGTGATCCCCTGGCCACAGAAATCCTCGCGAAAAAAGTTAAATCCCTCCTTCCAGTCGGGCATTAGGCACCTCATGGAATAGCTAGCCTTTACAGAATAGTCGTTCAACCGGAACGCATATTTAAAGAGGCTTCAGAGGCATAGAATAGCTCTCCATCAAATCTACAGCTCCCCTCCTTCATATTACCTTTTCATCCTTTAATGGTGTTGATCTCGCTCATGTTCCCACTCTTCTTACCCTACGCTTCAAATATCTTTCTTTCCATACTCCCACATCTTTAGGAGGTCCCGGAGAAGCGGGGAATTTATAGATTTCGGAAGGCAGACAGACCACAGGGAAACTCGATCAGAACCAGAAGTTTTCTGAATTTGTTAGCGGACCCCGGTACTACCCGCCTCCAAACCGCTTGTTGACGAGGCCTGGGGGTAGTTGATTATAGATCCGAGATGGAAGCCGGTGCCAAGAAAGAAGTCCTACGGTAACAAAATGCAACAAACCGCCCTGCTTGGCGACGCCCTGTTGCCCTTCACTAAAAAGTTAAGCAGTGCGGTGCTGCTATTTAGCTAAACCCTCTAAGGCCGCTCTCCTTGCGTGTTCCAGGTTGGGTGTAATGTAAGTCGACACAAACTCCGGTGGTGACGGTAATAGTACTGGCTGTACTAGTTTTGCTTAGGATTTGGCTACACTTAGACTGTTTTGGCAAGTAACACAACTGTTACCAGGATATGGTAAGGGGGAAGACTTGTGAATTAATATTTGATGATGAGTTAGCTACGCCTCTAGGGCTTCTTTAAATACACACTTTGGTTACAGACTATGCTATAGAGCTATATTATAAAATTGCTGGCCCGCTGCTCTGATGCCCTGGGCCACATGGCCCACTAGCTACATGATGCAGGTCGGACATCGCGTGTGGCTCACGGCGCACGCCGGCCATAAGTTAGCTAGCTAAGCCGGTACTATCGAGTGGTAGCCTCAGCAATGTAAATACGAGAAGTTATGCAATTTGATGGTATTAAGGAGGACGAGAGATAGGATGATGGGTCAGCTTCTCTCAGGCTCGGTGGAAGGAGCAATGGGGGTAGGCGGGAATGGCTAGACTGGGAACTGAATATTAGGGGGAAAAAAGGTTTCGGGTTAATGAACTAAAACTGGAGTGAGAGCGTAGACTACGCGCTACGTCCAATTTTTCCTAGATTGTGGAATGATAGTTGAGTTAGGAGAAAAAAAAAAAAAAATTGTTAGAGGCGGGTGTATTACTATCCTAGCTTGATTCATCCAGCAGTAGAGATATCTAGCTGGAAATGTCTTTGGAACCTGCAAATAAAGATCAACGCATATCCTGTTATCGCAGGAAACTGTACTTCGGGAACCGCGAATGCAACTGATGGAACAAGCTGGCACGATTTGGAAAGCGCCGGCTGTCCCCCAGAGTGAATGGTTTCACCTCTCTGAATAGACCTGTTATCAGTGAATGAGGATAAGAGCTAGTGGATTCGGTGGAGAGTTATCCTATGTCTCTGGGGCCTTCTTAAATGCATGATCTGGTTGCACGATACGTATTCTATGAGCTGTCGATGCCCTGATGCCTCACGCCATGTCACGTGACCAATTGGCCACGTGAACAGTTTCAGACATGCGGCGTGGCGCACGCTTCATGTCGGCCATAAAGGTAGCGCGTAAACTCCGATTCATACCGGACATAAATGAAGCCCCAACAAGACCCACGATATATATTCAAACCTCACAATTGAGTTATCAAAAGAAAGGATGATAACTCAAAAGATCGACCTCGGCTGTTGCTTCTCTAGCGCACGCTGTCTGCTGTGCGGCCAACTATGCATCAGAGCATCCTTCGTGAGTGGCTGAAATATCAGCCTTGTATGGAATTCAAAGCGGGGTGAGGACCCTGCATGGGGTTGAAGATCACCAAACAACACTAACAGCACCCCGGTATATTTCTCGAAAAATCAAGCATGCTAAGCTATGACAACCGAACTAAGAGCAAGCGACTACTCTGTTGGCTGGATATGCGCTATCCCAATAGAACTGGCCGCCGTGCTCGCCATTCTCGATGAAACCTACCCGCAGCTCGATGCTGCTGATGGGGATACCAACGTCTACCGGTTTGGCAGAATCGGCAGGCATAATGTCGTAATTTCGTGTCTTCCGGAGGGGCGGTACGGGCTAACCCGAGCCGGTATCGTGGCCGCCCACATGCGATCAACCTTCTCACGCCTAAGGTTTGGTCTGATGGTCGGTGTCGGAGGCGGGGCCCCTAGCGAGGACAGCGATGTTCGTTTGGGTGATCTAGTTATCAGTCAACCAACGGGTGTATCTGGAGGTGTTATTCAATACGATTTCGGGAAAGCGATGGAAAATGGGGAATTCCTGCGAACCGGTTCGCTGAACGCGCCTCCGTCTATTCTGTTAAGCGCGGTAGCATCTATAAAAGCCGGGGATCAGGCAGAGCTAGGCATGAAAATATCCGACGCCGCCCAAAAAATCGAGGAAGAGAATCCGAGATTCCAGTATCCTGGCCAAGATACTGACAGATTGTTCCACGCTGGCTATAACCATGTTGAAGGTGGGGGACGCCAGAGGGACACATGTAAATCTTGCGATGCTTCCAGAGTAGTTCCTCGTGCGGAGCGGGAATACGATCATCCATACATCCATTACGGAATTATAGCGTCGGCCAACCAGGTAATGAAAGATGGTATGAAAAGAGATAGAATTAGCGCACAAACAGGAGCTCTCTGCTTCGAAATGGAGGCGGCGGGTCTGATGGACGATTTCCCGTGCTTGGTGATTCGAGGAATATGCGACTACTCGGACGGGCATAAGAACAAACGCTGGCAGCCATATGCCGCACTGGTTGCAGCCATCTATGCGAAAGAGTTACTTCTCCAGATACCGGCAGGTAGGTTTATGTCACCATCAATATCAATGGTAGAACGGGGCGCTGAGCAAGGCCGTGATGTATAGCTAGCAAAGACGGAATGAAAAACGCAAATAGAAGTACGGATCCCTTAGAATCACCCTAGTTACCTTTCATGCCTCTATAGCGCTGTGGCCTTTGGAGTTTCGAGCTAATGCCACCTTCTGCAGAGCGAGAGAAGATTAAAGAGATCAACTTTGTCATCCCGTTCGATTTACCATTTCCTCGAAACCGTAATTTCGTTGGCAGGGTGGAAAAGCTAGCACAAGTTCATGAACATTTCTCGAAGCCAAATGTCACAGACACACCTCGTGTTTTCGCACTCGTCGGTACCGGTGGAATGGGTAAAACACAAGTCGCCATTGAATACGCCTATCGGCACTATTATGACTACACGGCTATTTTCTGGGTGTTTGCAGGAAGCGAGGACACCATCCGTACTTCTTTCATTAATATTATGCAGCGTATAGTTAAAGAGCAAGCTCGAGTAACGTGGCCTGAGTCTCTTCCCGACTATCAAGCTATAGGCTCGAAACTCGGTATGCCGGGATCGATTGATCGAAAAGGTACAATTGACGCTAGCCCGGAAGTGTTTAATAACATACAATCGGCTTTGTTCGGCTGGTTGCAACTGCCAGGTAACAGTAGGTGGCTGCTTATTTTCGACAACGCGGACGATTTAGAGGCTTTTGATCTGCAACAATACCTTCCAAATTCTGGCGGCGGGGCTATCCTCGTTACTAGCCGGAGACCAGAATTCTCGCATAGAGCGGAACAAGTATCTTTGGAAGGACTCGATGATAAAAGTGCGATCAAGCTTCTGTTAGATTTGGCACACTTACCGAATTGTCTCGAAGGTATGTATATAACAGCAGCTAATCCCGTGCTCTGATATCATGCTGATAGCTTTTAAGATCATTCAGCCGTCGAAACTGATGCAGCTAACCTTGTTAAAAAATTGGGTTTCATGCCTCTTGCTATTAGTCACGCAGGCTGCTATATCTACGAGGCGAAACTCCCGCTGGGGGGCTATTTGTCGTATTACAACAAAGCCTTCATGGCCGTGCAATCCAGAAAACCAAAGTTCGGGTGGAACTATCGGAATGATACAGCTGCGACAACATGGGAGATCTCATTCTCGAGGGTAGAAGGGGAAGATAAAGAGGCGGCACTATTATTACTTGTATGCTCATACCTCAATCCTGAGGAAATTTGCAACGATCTGTGGAAGGATGAGCTGGCCAGCGAGGTCGAAAGTAGGTAGTTCCGCGTCGAACTATAGCTTTCTATTTACTAATAATCAGTGAAGTCGAGGGCAAGATTCTGCTTCTTGCTTCGTA